TGTTCCAGAGGGAGAATAAATATGTTTCCCCAAAGATGAACAGAAAGGTGTTGGAGTTCTAGAAAACCCACCATTTGCACTTTGTATTCATTGGAATTCAAACAGCTAATAGGATATTGCACCACTGCAGCCTCCACATTTAGGGCAGGGCAGGGATAAAAGCTTCTCACTTTTCATAGAATCACAGAATCATAGAGGGGTTTGTGTTGGAAAGAACCACAAAGATCATCTCATTCCAACCCCCCTGCCATGGGCAGGGCCATCTTCCACTAGACCTGGTTCATCAGAGCCCCATCCAACCTGATCCTTTTCCTCCTGGACCACCGAGCCAGGCCACCTACAAAATCTCTGATTTTGGTAACTTTCTCCAGAGATCCTTTTTCAGTACTTGAGTTCCTCAGGACTCTTTGGGGATTGTGAGCTCCTTGGAGAGGCTGATCGTTTCCAACTTCCTTACAGTGAGGCTGCAGAAGATGCTCCCTGGCCCAGATCAGCTCTGAGACACATTATTAGCACTGCAGTAGCAGATCCCATTTGCATTGAGGTCTTTTACATGAATGAACAAACAACCTTTCATCCTTGCAGTGACTTATAGCCCCCCTCCCCGGAAACCTCACCTCTAGGACTGGTTTCTCAACACATCTCCCTGTGTCTGGGGTTACAGGAGACAAACACTGGTGTTCCAGGAATGTGCTACACCTGTAGCAGCATCACATGGAATCAGAGAATGAGAGAATGGGGATGGGAGGATCTGGGGTACAAGTGTGTTTGGAGTCAGGTAGAAAGAGAACCAGCTTGTCAGTGAAGGCTGGATAACAAAGGTCCCAAGTCAAAAGGAGAGCAGTCATATTCTGAGCTCCTTTTCTTTTAAAAGCTCTTGTGTTCCTCCAGAAGGGGCACCTGTAGATTCCTCTTGGATGAGAAAAACTTGTTCTTGACACCTAGAGACTTCTGCTCCAGGGAAGCCTGCTCCACTACTCCCATCCCCAATAGTAACACCTTTTCTTCTTCTTTACCTGTCTAGCTGATACATTCAAATTTTTCCAAAAACATGCAAACAGTGGCAACCCTCAGAAATATAACCGATGTCACAGAAGAGGAGATCATGGCTAGTGAGGCTGTCAATGAAGACTATGAGGGCAGCGGTTGGGACCGTGGCCATTTGAACCCCAGTGGCCAACACAACAGTCTGATAAACAGGAATGCGACCTTCACTCTCACCAACGCAGTGCCCATGTACCCAACACTCAACCGAGGCCAGTGGAAAATCTACGAGCAGCAAACGATGCGCAGTAAAACAGAGAACTGTCCAACCACCTACGTCATTGTGGGGGCTGTGCCTGGGAACTCCTCCATCAACAAGGACAGGGTGAATATACCCAACTACGTCTGGGCCGGTGCCTGCTGCAAGACCACCAACAACACCGTGATTGCTTGGGGAGCCATTGCCCGGAACAACGAGAACACTGTCCAGGTCCTCAAGCTGGGGGAATTGGAGAGAAACTTGACCAGGCTGTATAACAGCGGAGCGGTTTCTCTGTTCCATGTGGACTGTCCCCGTACATAAGCCTCACATCCTGGATGTAAAAGGCTTGATTGCTTTTCCCAAATGTCACAGAATCACAGAATGATTTGGGTGGGAAGGGACCTCAAAGTTCATCTAGTTCCAAAACCCCCTATAAAATAGGAGGGAAACCTTTCACTAGACCAGGCTGCTCACAGCCATTTCCATCCTGGCCTTTGACACTTCCAGGGATGGGGCAGACACAGCTTCTCTGGGCAACCTGTGTCAGGGCCGCACCACCCTCACAGGGAAGAATTTCTCCCTGATATGTAGTCTGACCCTGCCCTCTCTCATTCCACCTTCTCCTGTCACTCCATGCCCTTGTCCCTCTCTAACTCTTGCAGATACCCTAAAGGTACTGGAATGGGATCTAAATTCTCCTCGGAGCCTTCTCCAGCTCAACACCCGCAGCTCTCTCACCCTGTCTCCAGAGCAGAGGTGCTCCAGCTCTCAGAGAACCTCTCCTCATTAGCTGTCCCTGAGAGTGTGCTGCTGGCTTGTCCCTCACCTCCTTAGGAAGGCTGTGGGACTAGGGTGGCTCACGTTGCCCACCTCAGGTGTTGTGGAGTCTCCATTGCTGGAGAGGCTCAAACCCCAAGTGGACATGATTGTGGACAACCTGCTCTAGCTGACCCTGCTTGAGCAGGAGTCTGGACTAGGAGATCTTGAGAGGTCCCTCCAAACCTCAGCAG